ACCACTGATTTCATAGCAATACAAACTACTGTCAGAGAATACTATAAACATCTCTATGCAAATACACTGGAAAATCTAGAGGAAATAGGTAAATTCTTGGACACCTACATCCTCCCAAGACTCAACAGGAAGAAGTTGAATCTCTGAATAGACCAATAACAAGTTCTGAAATTGAGAGAGTAATTAATAGTTTGCCAACCAAAAAAAGCCCAGGATCAGATGGATTCACAGCTGAAATCTACCAGAGGGACAAAGAAACTATTCCAAACAATAGAAAGGGGGACTCCTTCCTAACTCATTTTATGAGGCCAGCATCATCTTGATACCAAAACCTAGCAGAGACACATACACAAAAAAGGAAATTTCAGGCCAATATCTCTGATAAACGTGCATGCAAAAATCCTCAATAAAATACTGGCAAATTGAATCCAGCAGCACATTAAAAAGTTTATCCACCATGATCAAGTTGGCTTCATCCCTGGCATGCAAGCCTGGTTCAACATATGTAAATCAGTAAGTGCAATCCATCACATAAACAGAACCAATGACAGAAACCACATGATTATCTCAATAGATGCTGATTATCTCTTTTACACCTTCCCTTTTCTTTTGTTTCCTCAATTTAGACTCTGAATGTTTATTGTTCTGTGACTTCTCCCTTATACCTGCGACTCTGATGTGATCCCTTCAGTTCTAGTAACAAATGGAAATATCAGGTCACATTGGAATCATTTGTTAGCATGTGCTGTTCTACATCAACTTCTTGAGAATAGAGGTCTTGTCTCATTCATGTTGGACTTTTAGTGTCTACCTCTGTATCTGGCCAAGAGCAGTCACTTGGTCAGTTTGTATTGAATGGGCCAAAATCAGTGTCAAAGATCTGGAAGTTTAAATGAGGTAAACCTGATCTTCAGTCTCTCAGGAGTTTTTACTTATGCAATAATCACATCTCGTTTGTGATCAGCTGTGCACATAGTTCCTTTGAGTTGATTTACACAACAGAGAACTGGGCCAGGTTTCAGTAAGAAACTTATCACTTGTGCAATATTGGGACAAAATTCATCAACAGTTTCTTCCCAAACTGACCTCTAGAGCAAACAGACCTAGGCATGGCCAATAAGAGGTTTCTTCATATTAGTAGTTATCTTTGGGGGTTTAAATTATCAGAGAAGTTATATTATTTCTTTCTTATTGTATATTTCTTTCCAAAAATTATTTTACCCTTTTAGTAAATCTATTTGCATAAGCCCATACGTTAAAATAGGATGAAATGGAAAGGATAGAATCTAAAACAGGAAAGTCGGGAAGTATTACGTAAGAAATTTTCTCAAAGGTTTTTTTGCTCACAGATTAGAAGTTGATAGACTTAGGGATTAAAATATTTTTACTAAGCTTCAGGAAATGGAACTGAGACAAAGAGTGATGTCTTGAGCTATATATATAGTTTGTAGGGGTAGAAAAGATAATACCACCATATTTGTTTAATTAAAAGATATGGTAAGTAGAGTATTACGCAAGATTTGAGAAAGACAACAGTGAGAATGGGGAAGCCACAGTTACAAAGAACAGAAGTTGCCAGTGAAGAAGAGGGACAAAAAATTTTAAAATAAGGATAGCTAACGTACTGAATTACATAAATACTTAACAGACTACATAAAAAGATAACTAAAAATTAAGCAATAAAACAATTGAAAAAGAATATAATGGAAATAAAATGTGTGTACATATTGCTTGAGAACAGAAGGATTATAAATAGAGATGCCATGCTCATTATAAAACCTATGAGAATCAAATGTTACACTTCAATGTTTTGGAACATAAGGACTATAAAGACATATTTGTATTAAAATAACAACGTTGAACATATTGTCATCAAAATGATCTTGATCTATGAAAACATGGTAGAAGTGTAAAGAGGTCATCTTAAGTTGAAAACTACTGATCAAATCTTTCTGTGTAAAATTTGGGCATCGTTTTTTTCCTTTTTTTTTTAAAGTGCCTTTTAATAAAAACTTTCCAAAGTTCAGATGAAAGAAAATGTTTTATTTATTTAAGATATTTTTCTTTGTTGACTTCCAGAGTGCTTTTTTTTTTTTTAACCAAAGACACACTATACAGGTAAACATTAGGAAGAGATTGACACCCAGAAAAGTGCAAAAAAAAAAAAAAACCCCACCCTGAAAGAGAATGAATGTTACAAAAATCCTTCATATTTGCAGGTCACAGAAATAGTCACTTCATATGCCATGATAGAGAGCCTATCATGAAAGTGATTGAATTCTAGGTGCTGGAGGAACAGCAATAAGGAGAGCAGACATCTCTACTCTCATGGAGTTTACAGTTAGAGGTGAGAGGTGGTGATAAAGACAAAAAAATTCAAGCAGGAAGGAGCTAGGGAGATGCTGGTTGATTCTGCCATTTGTAATAGGGTATTTGGACCCTAGCTCACTAAGATGACACTTGAACAAAGATGGAAGAAGTGAGGGACCAAATCTTGTGACTATCTGGAGGAAGATCATTCCAGCTGGTGAGAAGATGGAGATCCTGTTTGGAATGTTTGAGGAATACCAAGGGGCCACAATGGCTAGCAGGAAGTGAAGGAGGAGGATGAGAGCAGATGAGATTCAAAGACCAACAGCTCCAAACTGAGAATAAGGGTTTTATTTCTGGGCATCCTTCCTCCAAATTTCAAGATAACAGCTCCTCATTGCTCTTTACGATATGTGTCATGTTAGGGAGAACTCTGAGGAGAATTAATCTGAGGGCACTGGTGAATGATATGTATTAGGTGTGTAATCTTTTTTCATGATGACCTCTTTTCAGCTGAGCTTGACAGAATGCCTTACCTATTCCCATGATACTGGTGTGCGTCATAAAACAAAAGGTCATACCCATTGGCCTTTTTTTTTTTTTTTTTGCTTCATTCACTCAGTTATCCATCCAGCCTATTTATATCAAGTGGGTCCTGGGAATATAGTGGTAGATGGGACATAGTCCCATGGAGGAGGCAGACAACCGGTCTAACTACCATCTGACTAAACTATGATGATGTAAAGCTTTGGGGGCGGTGTTGGGGGACAGAGGAGGAGCCTGGAGTTCTGTTCCCTGAAGGAAGATGACTGAAATAGGACTTGGAGGGTGAGAAGGCAAAGAAAGACGGGCCACAGCTCTGCTTGAGATCATGGGGTTCTGGGAGCTGCAGGTGGCTGGGGAGGGTGAATGTGCAGTGTAAGCAGGACGGTCAGGAAGAGGTGAGGAGGAGACTCACATTCACTGGGTGTTACCACCCACCAGCCAGGCACAAGAGGGATGCCATGTTGCTGTTATTGTGCCCATCATACAGATGAGGAAACAGACTCAGAGAAGTGAAATGCCTTGCCTACGTTTGCAGTCTTAGAGGAAAAGGCTTAGCTTCAAACTCAGGTCTTGCAGTCTCTGAAGGCTGCACTCTTCCAGAAAAGCCACTGTGTGAAGGATTACAACCTCAATAGGGACATGGAGAAACCGAGGCTCAGAAAGGTGATAGGGCTTTCCCTGTGAATACAGCTCTGTCCAGTTGAGCAGAATCCTGAAGCAGTGCAAGAGTTGTGGTTTTCTTTCAAGCCCTCCAGAGAGACAACAGGAAGGCCAGAGCAGGACCCAGGAGTCCAGACCACTGCGTCTCCCATTCCTGTTCGGGTTGGCTCTCTAGGAGCCCCTTGACAAAAAAAAAAAAAAAAAAAAGGACTACATTCCCAACACTACATTCCCAATGAAAGTGTTGGGTCTCTCTACATGTAGGCAGAAGGATGAGGAATGGTGCCAGTTACTTGTAAAGCCATAGTTCAATGTCCAGGGGTTGAAATTTTTCCAAAACATTTTTGCAGCTCTATTGTACCTTGTCAGATATCTTCTAAATTTCTGATGTTAACTCAATTTTTGATTCAATACTTTGTTTTTATTGGGTACATAAAGATCAAGAATAAAAGATAATGAAATTAAATCTTTTTAGTTAAGTTTTTTGGGGGTTTTCCAATGACTCCCAAATACACAGCTCAAAATTTCGATACATAGAGAAATGAAGCATATAATTTTGTGTGTTGGTTAGTATCTTTTTCTGTCTTTTTAAATCCTCTACATGTTGAATCATGCCAACATTATCCATGCTAGGTTCTAAATCCCTTCTAATCAGAGACTATGCTTGTCTACATCTCTCTGTAGCAGCATTTGTTAGTGATCATAGTTATCAAAAAGTTATCTTTGTGTATACAGAAAGCCATGTCATTTCATCAGCTTAGTAGACCATAGAGCCTTCCACAAATAGCTTTGAGCCCCAAGGCCAGTCCAACTATTGGTTAATGCAAATAAGCATAGCAAATGTTTCTGCTCTGCCTCAGTAACCTCAATCCCATTTGAAATAGAGTTATGTATTATGGCATTACTAGGCAGACCCCTTCAAGCAAGGCAGGATCTGAATGCAGGTATAGAATGTTCAAATTGGTTTCTCTTTAAATAGAGATAGGTTTGGGTTTGCTGATCAAATCAATTAGAGTATTTTTCCCTAGTTCACTCTCAGAATGGGAAATTGCCTTTTGAAGCATTGGAGAAAAACAAGGATCCCAGACAAAGGTCCAACAAGTTTATGTATACACATGTGGGAAATCGACCTGGGGCCTATTTGTATGAAGAATGTCTACTCATAGCTTGATCTACTTATCTATCTCAAAATTTTAATGATTTTATTGAAGTATAATTTATACACAGTAAAATGTACAGATTATGAGAACACTTAGATGACTTTTGACAAATGTGTATACTCATGTTATCAGCACCATATTTAAGATATACAGTACTTCCATCATCCCAAAATGTCTCTTGCATCCCTCTTTGCAGGAAGTTCCTATAACTCCAGCCATTGTTCTGAGACACTCTGATTACTTTTATCATAGCTTTGTTTTTAGTGTTCTAGATCTTTGTAAAAATTAAGCTTCCTTCTCCACAGCTGGCAACCTTCTTGCCTGCAACCTGCAGCTGAGGAGCCCAGGCCATGGGACACACTCTGAGCACAGATGGCTCAGAGATGCTGCCTGAGATCTTGGAGCTGCGCTAGATCAAGGTGGAAACTATCTCGGTGAAGACCATTGAGACGATGATGGCAGGCAAGGAGGAGGATAACGACAACAAAGATGGTAGCAGGGGTGGCCACAGGCAGGCCAGCCACCACCACTACCACCACCACCTACACCACCTGCCAAGGATCTGCTGCGGTCACTCCTCACGATGACCCTACCCAGGTGTACCACCACCAGGAGGTGATCCTAGAGCAGGCATACCAGGAGGCGGTGGGTGGTGGTGACTCGGATGGGGGACCAGATACCCTAGTGCCAGAACTGGCCAGCGATGACCACGATCACCTTGAACAGGCTCTGGTTACCATGGTGGAGGCTGACAAGGGTGGCTGTGACATTATCTCAGGCAATAAGCAGTGGAAGCAGAAGCAGGTGCAGATCAAGAACCTGGAGGGTGAGTTCTCTGTCACCATGTGGTCCTCGGGTAAAAACAAAAGATATTAGCCATAAAATAGTAGTTGAGAAACAGATCACTGGAGAGAACTCACCTCCTGATTATTCAGAGTATATGAGAGGAAAGAAACTTCCTCCTGGAGGAATACCTGGCATTGACCTCTCAGATCCCAAACAACTGCAGAATTCGTCAGAATGAAGCCAAGACAAGTGTAAAAGATGATGCTCCATGAAAAATAGCTGGTGCTCGCCAAGGCTACACACAGATATTCAAGGATAACTGCCAGGAGAAAACATCTGCACACATATCATCCCAGAGTCCACTTTTGTGCAGAACGTAGCAGAGCTGTTGTTGAGAGCTCAGAACTAAGACCACATCAACTGGTTCACACTGGAGAGAAGCTGTTTTAATGTACATTTGAAGACCATGGGAAATGCTTTTTACTGGACTTCAGTTTACACACACGTAAATTTTTAAAAGGCTTTAGAATATGTTTTATCTTTCTCTGTAATCTTGTTTCAAAAACATGGTGTTTCTGTAAAGTCTATTCCCAACAGGAGGACAATTCATGAACTTCCAATCAACAGACAATTCTTTTTTAAAAAATCAAATTTAATGAAATTTCAAGTTCCAGGGTATATGTGCAAGATATGCAGGTATGTTACATAGGTAAATGTGTAACATGGTGGTTTATTGCATCTACCAACCAATCACCTAAGTATTAAGGCCAGCATGCATTAGCTATTTTTCCTGATGATCTTTCTCCTCCTGTCCCACACCACCCCTACAACTGACAGGACCCACTGTGTGTTGTTCCCCTCCCAATGTCCAGGTGTTCTCATTTTCATCTTCTACTTATAAATGAGAACATGCACTGTTTGATTTTTCTGCTTCTGCATTAGTTTGCCAAGGATAATGGCTTTCAGCTCCAACCATGTCTCTGCAGAGGATATGGTTTCATTCCTCTATATGGCTGCATAGTGTGCCATGGCATATATATACTACATTTTCTTAATTCAGTCTATCATTGATGGGCATTTGTGTTTATTCCATGCCTTTGCTATTGTGAAATAGTGCTGCAATGAACATACTCATACATGTATCTTTATAATAGAACAGTTTGTATTCTGCTGGGTATATACCCAGTAATGGAATTACTAGGTCAAATGGTATTTCTGCCTCTATGTCTTCGAAGAATTGCCACACTGTCTTCCACAATGTTTGAACCAATTTACATTCCCACCAACAGTGTAAAAATGTTCCTTTTCCTTTCCAGTCTTACAAGTGTCTGTTTTTTTCTTGACTTTTTAAATAATTGCCATTCTGGTTGGCATGAGCTCGTATCTCATTGTAGTTTCCATTTGCATTTCTCTAATGATCAGTGATGTTGAGCTTTTTACATTTGTGTGTTGGTCACATAAATAAATGGCTTCTTTTGAGAAGTGTCTGTTCATATTCTTTTCCTACTTTTTTTTAATGAATATTATCTTGGAGTTTTGATGAAAATCAATTGATCCTATGTATGTGGCTCTAGTTCTAGAGTATATTCCATTCAGTCAATTTATTTATTTTTATCTGTATGCCTATATGACTCGTTTTAACTATTGTAGCTTTAGAATAAGTTTGAGAATAAGCTATTGTATCTCCATCAACTTTTTCCTGATTGTTTTAACTCTTTGAGTTTTTTTTTTAAATAAATTTGAATCAGCTGGACATTTTGTAGAAACATTTCTGTAGGATTTTTGTCTGGCATTGTTTCTGAGTTTATATAGCTACCTAGAGACAAATAAAATCTTAATATTGAGAGTTTCAATTCAATTATTTAGGTCTTCTTAAATTTCTTTCAATATCCTTGTAGCTTTAGCATATAGGTTCTATAGATTTTTATTAAAGTTATTTCTATGAATATTGTAATAGGATGCTGTCGCAAATAGTATTTAAATTTTGTGCAACTATAAATGGTATTTTAAAATTGTTTATTTTCTGGTTTCTACATGATTAGTATATAGAATCACAAATAATTTGTGGACTTTCAGCTTCTGATCTCTCTAGTTTTATTTATTAATTCTAATAATTTATTTGATAGATATTTTATGACTATGTAGTCAAACTATGTGCAAATAATGAAAGCTTTTGCTTCTTACTTTCCAATCTTCATGACTTTTTTCCTTGTCTGTTGCTCTGGTATAATGAACAGAAATGGTAAGAGCAGATATTCTTGCCTCACTCACTTGATCTTGGGGAGAAGAGTTCAATGTTTCAACATTATTATATTAGCTGTAGGTTTTTCATACATGCCCTTTATCAGGCTTGTTGAGTATTGTCACATATTTTTCTGCATCAGTCACATAACTTATACTTTTTCTAATCTTTTGTTAATGTAAAGAATCCCAACCATTAATTTTTGAATGTTAAAACAAAATTGCATCTTTGGATAAACTCTACTTGGTCATTATGAATTATCTTTTGTATGTATCATTGGATTTTATTTCTTAGTATTTTATTTAAAAATTCCTTTATCATGATTGTGCTCTGTAATTTTTTCTTGTAATATCTTTCTCAGGTTTTGGTATCAGGGTTATGCTGGTCTTATGAAATGAATCAGGAAGTGTTAATTATTTTTACACATTTAATAAAGCTTATCATTAAAGACATCTGGACCTTTAGTTTTCGATTTTTTTGTGGGAAAGTTTTATTGTGATTTCTTTAGCAGATAAGTATCTATTTTACTTTTTTATTTTCTTGTATGTCAATTTTACAAAGTGTATTTTGCAATAACTTTATCCAATACATAATGTTTCACATTCCTTGGATTAAAATTTTTCTGTAACATTTCATTGTTTTTTACTGTTTCTAAAATACATAATGATATGCCATCCTTTATTCTTTGGGTTGATAATATATGTTTCCTCTTTTAAAATCTTTTGGGTCATTTAATTAAACATATGCCCACTTTTTAATCCTTTTGAAATAATATTTGCTTTTTATTTCTGATGCTATATTTTCTGGTATATTAATTTCTGCTCTTCTATTTGTTACTTCTTTCTCTCTGCTTATTTTAATTTACACTTATTCAGCCTTCTTAAGTGGAAAATGTAGATGGTTGATTTCACATCTTTCTGTTTTTCTTTATTAAAAGTGATAGAATTTTACTTTCAGAACTGTTTTAGCCACATCCTACCCATTTCATCTTTTGTGTTATCGTTAGCTTCATTTTGGAATAATTCTAAACTCAATTTGATTTCTTCTTTGATCCACAGGCTATTTAAAAGAGGGTTATTTTCCATAATTTTGAGATTTTCTGTATATCTCAATGTTGCTGATTTTTAATTTAATTATATTGTGTAAGAGAACAAATATAATTTAAATAATTTCTCCCTTTTAAAATTTCCAGAGGCTTATGATACATACAGTATAGGGTATATTTTAGTGGATGTTCCATGTGATTTGTAAAGAATGTATATTTTGGTCTTGTTTGGATATAACATTTGATGAATATCAAATTGTGTTGATCTGGTTACTCAAATATTCTTAATAACTCATTCGGTATGTGTATGTGTCCTTATCATTTCAAGTTCTAAGAGATGTAAACACATCACTTCCCTGCTATCAATTTTTGCTTCATGTATTTAGAAGCTTTTTTATTATATGTATTTAAAATATACATTATGATTATTTTGACTCATCATTTTGAAATGACTCACTACTTGCCTTGAAGTTTAATTTGTCTGACATTATTACAGATTCATAGGATGTCTTATGGTTAGATTTTGTGCAGCATATTTTGTTCATTTTCTTTTACTTTACTTTTCTTCTCCAGCATGCTGTCAAAGTCTTTTTTAAGTCATTAGTAAAAATATGTAGGCCAGGAACAATGGCTCATGCCTGTAATCTTAGCACTGTGGGAAGCCGATTACTTGAGGTGTGTGAATTACTTGAGACCAGGAGTTCGAGACCAACCTGGCTAACATTGCAAAAACACTGTTTCTACTAAAAATACAAAAATTAGCCAGGCATGATGGTGCACACCTGTGGTCCCAGCTGCTCAGGAGGCTGAGGCATGAGAATTGGTTTGAATCCGGGAGGCGGAAGCTACAGTGAGCTGAGATTGTGCCACTGCACTCCAGCCTGGGTGACAGTGACTCTGTCTCAAAAGAAGTTTAACTGTAGTAAATGTCTTATTATTCCATCCTCATTTCTTCATTTACTTCCTCTGATTATTGACTTTTTCCCTCACATTCATACAATGCTAGATTAATGCCAAGGATTTATACCTTTGAGAAACAAAAATATTTATAGCTTTGAAAAACAAAAGATTTTATATGTTTTCATATATTTAGCTTTTGTGGTATTTTGTATTCCTTCCTGTAGATTCAATTTTCCATCTGCTGTAATTTTCCTTCGTCATGAAGAACCTGCTCAGCATGTCTTAAATGTTGCATTTGTGTGTATTCTGACTTAATAATTTTCTTCTTTTGATCTTTTAAGATGTTGTTTTATTATCTTCTTGCCTCTCTTGTCTATGATGGGAAATCATCACTCACTTATATAATTTATAATCTGTACTAGTCTGTTTTTTCTTTGGCTATTTTTGTGAGTTTTTTCTTTATCTTTGTTTAAAGCCATTTTACCATATTCTTAGTGCTGTGTATGTGTGTGTGTTTTCAATTTACCATGCTTGGTGTTTATTGGCTGTTTAAACCTCTGAATTGATATTCGTGATCAGTTTTAGAAAGTTTTTTTCATTATTTTATCTAATTTTTTTCATTATTTCTAAAATGCAATATTACATATTTGACTACTTAATACTGTTACACTTCAATAATTATTTTAAATATTTTTCTGTCTGTGCTTTAGTTTGAGTGATTTTTCCATCTTGTTTTGTGTCCAATATGCTCATAAACACATTCAGGAATACTTTATTTCTGGCATCAATTTTTTAGCGTCAGGATTCTATTTTGGTTTTCTTTTATAGTTTGGAAATATGTCCAAAATTTCTTTGCTCATTATACTTTTCATTTTGTATAAATCCCAGCACAAATTTATCAGTCATTTTTATGTTCTTATTTTATAATTCTTGCATCCAAACTTTGCCTCTATTTTTATTAACTGATTTTCCTCTTGAGTATTGGTCTAGAACACATTTTATTGCTTCTTCACATATTTTAGAATTTTTTTTATTAAAACCTGGACATTATGTATAAAGAAAAGTAAAGACTGAAGTGGACTATAAGTTGCAGGAGTGGAAGTCCATAAAACTTAGAAACTGAGAGACAGCGAACATACAAAACACAAGGCCGTTCACACTGAACCTGCACGTAGAAGGCCCATACAATTTTTAAAAGTCACGGTATTGAGACTTGTCTTCTTCTAGCTTAATGATTCCTAAAATTTCAGTTAAATAACAAATTTATCCTTATATTT